CAGGCTTCCCTGTCCTTCACTCTCTTCCTGAGTTTACTCAAAACGCATGTCCATTGAATCAGTGACACCATCCAACCATCTCATCCTCTGTCATCTCCTTCTCCTCCTGCCCTCAATCTTACCCAGCATCAGAGTCTTTTCTGATAAGTCCACTCTTCGCATCAGCTGACCAAAATATTGGCGCTTCAACTTCAGCATCAGTCCTTCCAATGAATATTCAAGGCTGATTTCCTGAATGACTTGAGTCCTCCTTTACCAGCTAAGCCACCAGGGAAGCCCTAAGTAAACAAAGGAAGATCCCTAACTCCCTGGGGCAGGCTTGGAATCTGACAGTGTAACCAAGGTCAAAGAACCCGGAAAGGATGGGCAGGTGCGGTCTCCCTGGCTATCATTTTGTGACTCAAGGCTTTGAGGGACACTTGTTTAAATGCATCTGTAGCTTCATTGGTCTTTCATTGGCAGAGAGGCATATGTATCTTTCAGAGAAACGTCCTTGGACACGATGCTTTAACTTCCCTCACCCCTTCCCCCGAGCCTGCTTCAGCTCTGTGCATTGCAGGGGTGAGAGAGGTTTATCACATCAGCAAAATCCCATTATCAGTTGAGAGCTGCCCTGGGGTTTGCAGGATTCCTAAATAGAAACTGGCAAGTACACAGACATAACACTGCGAGCAAACACAGACTGCGTGTTTGTGTAAAACAGCCCATCCTTGACACACCAAGGTCATTTCCAAGTAGATAGTTCTAGGTCAGCACTATCCAAAAAGCTTTCTGCAGCAATGAAATCTGTAACCTACATGTCCGACATAGCAGCCACTAGCCACACATGGTATTGAGCACTTGACATGTGGCCACTGGGATTGAGGAAATCAATCATATTTCATTTAATTTCAAATAATTTAAATGCAAATAGCCACATGTGTCTATGGTATTGGATAGGTCAACTCTAGATAGTTCTATTTGTAAAATGTTCATTCCTCTTGTAAGATAAAAACTAGCCAGGGGACTTCCCTGGTAGTCCAGTGGCTGAGACTCAATACTCCCAATGGAGGGGACCTGGGTTTCCTTCCCAGTCAGGGAACTAGATGCCCCATGCTGCAATTAAGACTGAACACAGCCAAATAAATAAACAAAAAATTTTTTTTTAATAAACTAGCCAAAGATCCCTTTGAGAAAGCTTACTCATGGAATAAGCTACTGTTAGAACCTGTTTACTCATAATATAGGAAAACTTCCCAGAATCTAATGAATGAAAAAAAATTATAGACTGATTCACCAAGCATGTAGCAAGTTGGAGAGATTTCTATGGAGATCATTTGGCATCATTCTCCAGAGTTTAAAACTTAAAGTTCAATTGTATTCTACATGCAACGCGCCCCCCCCCACAACTCCTAAAATAACCACAAGAATATGATACTTATAGAAGACAGATGGCAAATATTCATTAGATGTCCATATACTATCTTTTTCAATATTGACCTATTTTATGTTAGTATTCATTCAATGCCTACAGAATGCCAGATTCTGTAGAGGCTACAAAAGGCATAAATGACATAATATTTGCCTTGTCCCAGGATCCAAATTCTGTGGCAATTTAAGGAAAGCAAACCATGAAGTGAAAAATACAGAATTCACTCATCAAACAGCTCTGCTTAAAGGGTCTCCTGAACACTCTGGTTTTTCTTCTTTCTCATTCAGGGATGGAGGCGGGAGACAGAATCATGTTGACAGGAAGTAAAGAAGTCTTGATAATAAACAAGAGTCTCATTTTTAAGCAGTTGTATTGGCAATTAATGTTTCTCATTAAAACCATCTAATGTTTCTCATTAAAAGGACTCTCAGGAAAGTGATATAGCAATATTCATGGCTTTCTGAAATTTTGCACTTTTAGTTTCACCCTTCAAGAACATAGGTGACCATTTCCCTCACATTAGGGACAGTCTTATAAGAGGTATTTTTTTCAGGATCTTCTAAGTAGTGGTGATATTCAAAGTATTTGACAACCTGAAAGACTGAAGGCAGGATGAGAAGGGGATAACAAGATGAGATGGTAGGATGGCATCACCGACTCAATGGACATGAGTTTGAGCAAGCTCCAGGAGTTGGTAATGGACAGGGAAGCATGGCCGTGCTGCAGTCCATGGGGTTGCACACAGTCAGACATGACTGAGCAACGGAACTGAACCGAACTGAAAGCAGGAAAGCCACCCAATCAGAATAATTAGTCTAGGAACACCAGCAAATCAGAATGCACAGTGCATGGGAACCACCCAATCAGAGAAGATATTTGTATGTACATCAACCAATCAGAATGGATAATATATGGGAACCAGCCATTCAGAACAGACACAGAGCAGAACACAGTCCCATGTTGTGCCAGCAAATCTCCCTTGAGTTAGTCATCAATTCATAGAAGAGGGTCCAGGGTAGGGGCTGACTGTAATTTAAGATTAAAAAAAGTATTTTATGTCATGATAGTATACAGATACACATCATTTTATTATGCTTTGCTTTATTGTGCTTCATAGATATTGCATTTACAGACTGAAGGTTTGTGACACCCAGCAGAAGTCTATCAGTGCCATTTTCCAGCAGCCTTTGCTCATTTCCTGTCTCTGTGTCACAGCTTGGTAATTCTCACAGTATTTCAAACTTTCATTATTATTATACTTGCTGCGGTTGTGGATGTAAAATGTTGCCTGCCGTATCAGCAAACAAAGGATGCTGTGGCCATCAAGCCATCAGCCACTGCAGTCGGCCCTGAAGGTGAGCCCTGAGGGGACCCAGGATAGGAAAGAACAGGATCCTGGCTCCAGACAGTTGAGATGCACAGAAAAGGAATGATTGCAGCGAGCACAGGCTCTTGTATCTCCCCATACATAGAAAAACACTGAATTGCTTAACTTGAGATGTCTGGTTTTCTTTAATTAACGGTCTCCTTTTGATGACTATCTGGTCATTGTTGCAAAAACTCCTCCATATCCTGTCTCCTCCCTTACCTCTTGGGAGCAGTTCCTCGGAGCTCAGTAGGAGGCTGCCTTCTAGGCTTGATGGCTTTAGAAAATTTGCCAAATTAAAAAATTCTCCGTTTTTAGGTTAGGCAGTTTTTTTCAATTGATAACCTGTGATCAGTGATTTCTGATGTGACTCTTGCAGAAAGCTTGCAACTCACTGACCACTCAGATGATGGCGAGCATTTTTTAGCAAGAAAATATTTTTTTAATTAAGATGTGTGCATTGTTCTTTTAGACATAACACAAAGGCTCATTCAATAGACTACAGTATATGTAAATATAACTTTCACATGCTCTGGGAATCCAAAAAAAAAAAAAAAATTTTGTGACTTGCTCTATTGCTGTGGTCTGGAACCGACCCTACATTTCTGAGGTCTGCCTGTACAGACTTCTTTGTGAATGGATTAGCACACAGGAGTGTATGATAAGAAACATCATCATCACAATGAATGTGTGTCTTTTACCAGGTAACTCTAAGGAATTCACTGATGCTGCTAAGTCACTTCAGTCATGTCCGACTCTGTGTGACCCCATAGACGGCAGCCCACCAGGCTCCTCTGTCCATGGGATTCTCCAGGCAAGAACAGTGGAGTGGGGTGCCATAAAATCCTAATACTTCTGAAAAGTCAAATTCTATCTTGACAATAGCATGGTTGGGCCTGGGGGGCTCAGGGGAGTTGCTAATTACTACATCGCAGTAATCTGCACCAACCAGTGCAGAGCTCAGTCAAATCATAGGCCAACCTCTACATTAAATATGAAGAGATGGGGTTGTCAGCAAAATACACTGAGAATCTCTACATGGAAAACGAAAAAAGAATTTTTAATAGAGGCCTCCTGTTTTGTTTCTTGGAAAATGCCTGGTTCTTAAACTCTATGATTATTTAAACATTTAAATAGTAAAGAGTTAAGAAGAACAATAAAAGGTTTTTTGGTGTCTTCCCTTTTATTTATGAGAGAACGTTATTGCCCATATCCAGTTTGTTCATGGCTGGAGATACATCCCCCAAACAGCAAAATCCACATCTAACTCATCTGAGGACATAAGAACAAGATTGATAAGGGAGCAGATAAAAATGAATGTCTTCATGTCAACATCCAATAATAAGATATTTCTCAAGGTGCACTTCTGCTTTAGAATGTAGGTTATAACCTACAACTTATGGTTTTTCTGGGCAATTTCAGTCATCTGATGGATCCTAATGTTTAATCCTCTTTTTTTCCCACAGATAATATGCAATAATACCCACATAGTACAGTTCAGTTCAGTTCAGTCGCTCAGTCGTATCCAACTCTTTGCGACCCCATGAATTGCAGCACGCCAGGCCTCCCTGTCCATCACAAACTCCTGGAGTTGACTCAAACTCATGCCCATTGAGTCGGTGATGCCATTAAACCATCTCATCCTCTGTTGTCCCCTTCTCCTCCTGCCCCCAATCCCTCCCAGCATCACGGCCTTTTCCAATGAGTCAACTCTTTGCATCAGGTGGCCAAAGTATTGGAGTTTCAGCTTCAGCATCAGTCCTTCCAATGAACACCCAGGACTGATCTCCTTTAGGATGGACTGGTTGGATCATAAATATTATCTTCAAGAGACTGTAGATAATAAAGACCTGTTAAACGTCACAATGGGATGTAGACATATCTGTCATTTGCTGGGTTAGCAAGCAGGAGTGTTGAGTGATGAGAAGCATTATCATAATGAATGTGCAACTTTTACTTAGTAACTGTGGAATTCGCTGAAATCTTGAAATATTTTAAAAGTCAAATTCCACTTTAGAAGCTGGGAAAATGGAGTCCTTCCTCTCAAAATAAAATATCCATTCTGATGATGACAACACTGTTTCTTCCAGGTCATGCTGCAAAGTGGGAGCCCAGAGTTAGAATGACGGCAGTGATGACATCACAGTAAGCGATGATGACATCGTGAGCAGTGAGATGTAGGTCCTCAGTCAAGAGCCATGTGAAGCCAAAGGGATGTCTGTACTATACCAAAGTCACATTCCTGACCTTCTTAGGACTGCCCATGTTAAAGGAAACCGGTGGGTGATTTGCTGGGCCCAGCTGGCGGTGATTAGACTCCTGAAGACAAAGGAATAAAAAGGATGAAATGAGTTGCTTGAGATCACCATAAAAAGCACATTTGAGAAGAAATCTCCACTCATCAGCAAAGATAAAATGAGGATGTAGAGAGGAATACAACGTTAGCATGTGTCCTTCCTTTATGATTTTCAGTACAGCACTCTAGACATTTCCCAAATTCAGGGCCTAAAGAGAGATCCAATTCAAAGAATCTAGAATGTGTATGAAGGCAAATTACAGCAAAAATTCATGATTTTGTTTTTTAATATTCCAAATTCTCACCATTATGTGAAAATATAAAATATTTTCAACCTTCTTTAAATAACACATTCCTTCCTAAAGGAAAGGAGCAAAATTGATGAGCTGACTCCATGTAGATCACCCATCTATCTCCTCAGACAGTTTTCCTGGCTCTTATATTCCCCTTCTGAAATGTGCTCCCAAGCAGAACACTCACTCCTCCAAGGGGCCAATGCCTGTGGAAGAGTGCTTCCTTGTTAGAATACATGCAGTATATCTGGAGAAAAACATGATCTGAAAGGATACATGCATCCCAATGTTCACTGCAGCACTGTTTACAATAGTCAAGACATGGAAGCAAACTAAATGTCCATCGACAGAAGAATGGATAAAGAAGGAGGTACATAATACAATGGAATATTAGCCATTAAAAAGAATGAAATAATGCCATTTGCAGGAACATGGATGGACCTAGAGATTGTCATACTGAGTGAAATAAGTCAGACAGAGAAGGAGAAATACCACAAGACATCCCTTAGACGTGGAATCTAAAAGAAATGATTCAAATGAACTTACAAAACAGAAGCACACTCACAGACTTAGAGAACAAACTTATGGTAGCAGAGGAAAAGATAGGGGGAAGGGATAGCTAGGGCATCTGGGATGGGCATGTACACACTGCTATATTTAAAATGGATAACCAAAAAGGACCTACTGTATGGCACAGGGAACTCTGCTCAATGTTATGTTGCAGCCTGGATGGGAGGATGGGTTTTGGGAGAATGGATACATGTATATGTATGGCTGAGTCCCTTCCCTGTTCACCTGAGACTATCACTACATAGTTAATTGTCTACGCAGGTAGCGCTAGTGGTAAAGAACCCGATGGCCAATGCAGGAGACATAAGAGATGCAGGTTCAATCCCTGGGCCCAGAGGATCCCATGGAGAAGGAAGGGCACGGTAACCCACTCCAGTATTCTTGCCTGGAGAATCCCATGAACAGAGGAGCCTGGCGGGCTACAGTCCATAGGGTTACAAAAAGTCAGACACGACTGAAGTGACAGCACACATGCATACACCAATGCAAAATAAGAAGGTTTTAAAAAATAAAATAAAAAATAAATTACTTGCAGTGTATTTTCCTGCCCATCCTGAAGATGCTGGCTCAGACTGCAGGGCCCTGGAGCTGCATTTAACATCTTAAATAATGTAACCGGCCACCATGAATAATTAACGTCACAATGGAACAGCAGCGAGTCTTACGGATGGCACCACTCTGACCCCTGGTCTTAATTCATTGATTCCCGGTCACACAAGGAGAACCTTGTGGCTGACTGGGCTACATCGTGCCACAAGGATGGTGCTTCTGTTGTGATGATGCCTGGGATTTTGCTGTTGTTTGCCTTTTCCCCATGACATGGTTGCACCAACCAATGTTGTTTTCTAAATTTATCAAGTTTATTTCTGTTGGTCTCAGTACGGAAGAGATAAGCAGGGAAGACATAACCCAGGTTTCAAATTATTCATAAGTTCATCCCCCAAAACTAACAGACTTGGAAGGAAAGACACAGAATTGCCTGAAATAACCAGAAAAAAATGGACTGCCAGTGAGTCAAGGAGAGGAAAAGGAGGATTGTTTGTTTTAAATATTCATCATGATGCAAAATATTTGCAAATCCCATGGTTTTGTATCAAAATAAAAGAAGCTTTCCTTTCTCATTGACTGCAATTTTCAGGAAGAAATTTCTGACTTTATCAGTTTTGTGCTAATGAATTAATGGACAGTGACACCTACATTAACTGTACCTCATCAACAGAAATTCTTGTCTGGAAAATAACACCAGTGTTATATATCTTAACTGGAGATGCAACCAGAATAGAAATAATCAGGAAGAAAAGTGTCATGTTTTGATTAATGCAAATTTTGAAATTTGCATTTTTTTTACCTTCTGAGGTTTTCACCTTCTGAGGCTTCCTAAAATTTAGTGCTTGATCTGGGATTTCTACAGCCTAAAATCCTCTTTTATTCATTCATATTGAAAACATTGTGCCTTCGGACCCAAATAAAACACGGGAGATTTAAAAAGTGTTCCCCAACTATGATGCCTCATGGTTATGGAATATTTCAACATCAGGACACTTCCATGTGACCCTCCTCACAGCCCCCAACAAGCATCTTGAATCCTCTGTGCTCCGCAGCAAGCTCCCTGCGTGGGGTCATGAACACAGGTCATTCCAAATGCACAGATGCAAGTGAAGCTCTGAAACTCAGGGATGACATCCCCTTAGGAACAATGCAATGCGTGTCTGTTATATTTTCACACTGAGCCACAAATGAATTTTCTTCCAAGCAGATTGCCCAGGAGCACAGTAAAAATGTCCATTCTTCAGCCATATCTCCCAGAGATTCTGGCCCAGAAAGTCTGGAAGAGACTCAGAAGGGAGCATTTTAACAAGCCCCCAAAGTGAGCCTCTGTCCTGAGGACCACTGCTCAGTCCACTGGTACCCAGACTAACGTGTTTCTAGGTGCTGACTTCATCTCCATGCTCAGTGAGCATTCTTTGGGACCCAGAATACAGGAGAAATAACCCCCATTTCTTCCAGTTGTGACAGTAATAAGGACTTTCTCAACCCTGGGTAAAGAGTCCCAAGTTCGGGGGGACCCGGCAGGGCAGTGGGCTGAGAGGTGGGGATGAGCATGGGAGGTGTTCCAGGAGGCTAGCGGGGGCCACTTTCCTTGGTTTAAAAGCCTGTGACTCCCAGTAGACCTGACCTACACCAACCATGGCCCCTGGTAGCTCCAGACCACAGTGGCTGGTCTTATGTAGAGGCAACCTCCAGCCCACGGCTTGTCCCCAGTGGCAGTGCCCCAGAGCTGAGCCCTCACCCCTTCTGAAGTCCTCAAGGACCGTCAGCACCAAAAGAACCAGAGACAGCCAGGGATCTGAAAAACGGGGTTCCCCACGACAGCTATGCTGACTTTCCCATGGCAGTGCAGGCCTCCAGTGTTCTGGACCTTAATAGGGAGGGTGTCGAAGGAGCGAGAGTTACGGGGGCTGGTGCCACGGCAGATAGGGTTTTACCCCTTCCTGGACAAAGGAGCCTGGCAGGCTACAGTCCATGGGGTCACAAAGAGTGGGACATGATGGAGCGACTGTCACTCACTCACTCAAAGTATGAAGAGGGTTTCTCTGGTGGCTCAGACAGTAAAGAATCTGCCTGCAATGTGGGAGACCTGCGTTCAATCCCTGGTTTGGGGAAGACCCCATGGAGAAGGAAATGGTGACCTACTCCAGTATTCTTGCCTGGAGAATTCCATGGACAGAGGAGCCTGGGGTCAGTTCATGGGGTCGCAAAGAGTTGGACATGACTGAGTGACTAACACTCACACACACAAAGTATTAAGGATCCAGGCTCCTGTTTCGGTAACTGCTGAGCGTAGGTTGTAATTAAAATCACGCCTGGTGATGCACGATGAGGACACAGCATGTGGATGCTCTCAGCAGCCTGGGGATGTAGATACAGATGGTAGAACTCTGGGTGGGACTGAAGGGAGGGTGAACGTAACTCCCCAAACAGCTTGCTCCTCGGCGCCAGTGCTCAGTTCTGAGAGGATGTGGTCACAGACCCCAGGGACTCCTCTCCTTGTGGCGGGGTCCACATGATGCCAGCAAGACTGCTGCTGCTTCTGCGTAGTCGCTCAGTCATGTCAGCTCTTTCGCACCCCCATGAACTGTAGCCTACCAGGCTCCTCTTTCCATGGGATTCTCCAGACAAGAATACTGGAGCCGGTTGCCATTTCCTTCTCCAGGGGATCTTCCCGATTCAGGGATGGAATCTGCGTCTCCCGCACTAGCAGGCGGATTCTTTACCGCTGAGCCACCTGGGAATCGCATGGCGTGCAGGCAGCACCGGAGCTGGAGAGCGGTCCAGTAAATCCCAGTCCAGTGCGGTTAGCATGAATGTCTTGGGACTCTGAGCAAATCATAAGTATCGCCCAGGGTGAAATGACAAAGTAGCCTAGTCGATCTTTGGCAACATCCCACTCTCCCCACCTACAAGGCCATTTCCGTCTTAGGCAATAACCCTTCAATCCAGCCACATGTCAGAAACCCCTCCACTGGCTCTAAAGTGCAGAGATGCCCAGGCTGCCCCACCACCAGCTGGACTGAGCCAAGAGATCCACGGTGGGGGGGACCAGGAAATTGGGTACCCCAAAGGCCACACTGATGACTGCCCTATGCCTTGCACCCACGATTCTTCAGGCTCCCCCTTCCCTGGATCATCTTTAAACAAGACAGCCTTGAAGAAACCCTGAGGGGCCAAAATTACAAAGGAGCAAGATGGCCATTTGACCTGGAATGATGCACCTTTCTTCAAGGACCCGAAACAAAACGTTGCATACTCATTTACTCCAGTCAAATAGTATTTTTGTCGAGATCGCTTTGTGGTAAGCAGTCTATAAGCACTCAGGCTCCTGGTGTCACTTTACTGGTAACAGCGTAATGCTGGGTTTTGAGGACTTTCTCCACTAGAGGGAATTAGTGTTTAGTGAGCACCCAGAATTCTGTAACAGACTGCATGTAGCCCTCAGCCTTCCACTACCTAAGACCTCCTGAAGATGTGGAGGGTAAGGAAGACACCAGCTGAGATGAGAAGGTGGTGTAGGGAGAACACACACAGGTGGACTCATGACATGCTGGATTAGTCAAAGGCAAGATGGCTCTGCTCTGAGACCCGCTGACCCAGGGCAGGAG